ACCCCAAAACCCCAAAACCCCAAAACCCCAAAACCCCAAAACCCCAAAACCCCATTTTGTCTAAATAATAAAGATGCTGAGAAAATAAAGATGAGAAATTAGGAATTAAAATTTGAAACATTATAAAGATAAGATACATAGGAAAGGAAATATAGGGGTATAAACAAAGACTTTTGATAATTTTTATGGAAATTAAAGCAGTGGGTAACTGCTTAAGTGATGGCGCAAGCTCAGAATCTAAGTTTCTTGAAGAAGAAGCCTACATGGTTAGTCTTGTCGGATTTGGGTGCGGGGTTATTGTATCTAAAACAAGAAGTTAATAATTATATTAAATATGAGAGAAGGCTTACTTCTCTTCGAAAAGCTTTCTGACTTCTCTTTTCATTTGCTTTCTGGATTCTTTGTTTGCTAGCTTATCCTCTGAGACTGAGGTCTTAAGGTCGATTTCTGTTGCAACCAAGTATCTTGTGGGCATGAGGTGGTTGTAGTTGACGAGCTTAACGAAAGGCTTAACCTTGGATCTTCTAGCGATTTTCTTTTAGCTCATTCTACCGGTAACTTTCAAGGGGTTTCTCTCAATACCAGCCACTAAAGCGTGAGCGAATTTCTTGTCCTAAACAAAGAAGATGATTAAATCGAATCAAGGGGCTTACCTTCTTTCCATCGTCGTGCTGTCTCACAATGATAGCTTTCTTTCCAGCATGTCTGCCAGCAAGGAGAATGACTACTCTGCCAGGTTTCATACTAAACACAAAAGTTAAGATTATGTGCTAAGAAAGCCATCAACAGCCACAGTCAGACCCAGGGAACACAACTTGAGTGACTATCGGGGAGTCTGTGGCAGAGATAGGCGGTTGATAAAGAGGAGAGCCAGTGCTTACATTTTACCCATTGTTGCTATTGATATATAATCCTAATAAATAATAATTTAACAAGCTTCCTCTTATATACTCAATAATCAATATGGTTAATTCATAAATATGACCCATGACTTATCTTCATGGGGTTTTGGGGTTTTGGGG